GCGCGCTGCGCGGGGAGCCGGGGTCGGAGCTTCGTCCGGGGTCGCGCAGACCGCAAGCGCTGTGCTCTGAGCCCCGAGGAACAGCAGCTGTCTGGTTCGCAAACAGCTGTCAGACTGTGTGTGTTTGGGGCCGGAAGCGGGAGGGAGCGGGGCGCGCGCCTTGGAATTCATGAGGAAGACAAATACCAGGTAGCACCCTCCTTTTAAAAATCACTAGCGTAAGCCGTGAAGTTTAGCTGAGATTTGGGGGGAACCACAGATGGCTCTTGCTTGCCATCTGTTACCGCACGTTGCTCATTTGATAGTATCCCCTCTTGGCCTGAGGATCTAGAAGTAAAATCACACTCAAGTCCTCTACACCTCCTAATTTTTGGTGATCTAATTTCTCCTCCCACCCCTTTATTTTCGTCTTCGTTATTTTGTGGTGCTAGGTCAGCCGTGTTGGCCGCTCTACCACAGAGCCACGCCCCCAACCTGATTCTTTACCGTTTTTCCTTTTTCCTCTCTTCCCTCCCCCCCCCATCCTCTTTCTTCCTTCTTATTTCCTTCTTTTGTTCCTTTGTTTTTTGAGACAGGGTCTCACTATGCAGTTCAGGCTGGCGTTGAGCTCACTTTGTAGCCCAGGCTGGTCTCGAACTCGCAAAGATCGTACTGCCTCAGCCTGCCAAGTGCTGGGATTACAGGCGTGCGCCACCACTCCCAGCCTTATTTCATTTTTGAGAGCAGGACTTATCAAGTTGCCAGGGTTCAACTACTCTTTCCCCCTCGGCCCCCCGCACCATGGAGCTGGGACTACAGAACCTGGCTGCTTTCAGTTTTTAAGCTTCAGGGTCAAGGGTACAGGTAGCCTGAAAGTTGGTATCTGGGAGCTTGAGGAAACCACATGACTAACTCAGGAGTCTAGGATGTAGGTCATTTATGACATTCACTGTTGACCGAATGGTAGCATGCATTCTGAAGGCGCTTAATTTATTAATTATTCTTAATTATTCTTCCTTTCTGCCTTTCAGTAAGGTCGATATTGTTACAAAGTGCCTAAAATGATGCTTAGTATATGTGATGACCTCGTTTGAAGGTTTTGCTGCATGATAAGCACTTGGTACATATTTATTGAAGAAGAGACTGCGAATTGATTTTCTTTAAACCCGCTCCCCAGCCCAGCCTGGTGACCCACAGCTGTAATCCTAGCACTTGGGAAGCTGAGGCAGGAGGATCACCCTACGAGGCCAGCCTGGGTTACACAGTGAGACCCTGTCTAAATAAATAAAATACATACATACATCCCCCCCAACTCAAGATTGAACCGAGGGCCTTTGAATTGAGCTACACTCCCAGCCTTTAAAAAACATTAGCTGGGCGTGGTGGTGCACACCTGTAATCCCAGCACTTGGGAGGCTGAGGCAGGAGGATCGTTTGGAATTTGAGGCCAGCCTGGGCTACAAAGTGAGCTCAAAGTCAGCCTGAACTGCATAGCGAGACCCTGTCTCAAAAAAACAAAAAAAAAAAAAAAAAAACCACGAAAAACATTGAGCTACACCCCAGCCTTGCTAGTCACTAAATTGTCTAGGCTGGACTTAGACATTTGATCCTCATTCCACAGCTTCCCAAAGTGCTGGGATTACAGACGTATGCCATGGCCGCTGAACCCTGTTCCTTATTTTCTCTTTTTGTTGTTAATTCTAGTCAGAGGAACAGGAGGCTGAGGCAGGAGGATTTCAAGTTTGAGGACAGCCTGAGCAACTATAGCAAGCTCAAAGCCAGTCTGGACAACATAGCAAGACTCTGTCTCACAAAACAAAAGCAATTTAAAGTTACAATCTCTCCTGATATCTTCCAAATATGATTAATCTTAGGGATTCAGAAGCATGATTAGTAGTATACCATATGCTTTTACCCTTTTTTTTGCCTTTAACCTTCTTTACACAGGAGTCTAAAAACATTCCTGAATCCAAAATTCTTTATTATCACTGAAATATTCCCATGATTCAAATGCAGTTAAAGATAACACCTTTTTCTAGCTAATAACTGTGTTTTAATGCTGCTTATATTGTTACCTGAAGAGAAAGATAACTTTCTCTGCAGATCATCTTTCAAAAGGAAATTGTTTGGTTTCGTTATTTGAGTTTTAGCCAGGTTTCAGATTATTATATGGCAAGAATTTTTGGGTCTGTCTCAAATAGTTGAAACCATAGTGTTAAATCCTCCAGTGCTAAAGGCTTACATAGCATAGTATTCATTCACTTTGAAAACATCTGTTGGATCATGTTTTATGACAAAATGAATAGAAGAGGGTTTTGTTGGATGATATGAATAGGAAGGCTTGTTTGTTTGTTTTACTGCTGGAGGTCGAACCCAGGACATTGTATACACTAAGCACATAATTCTACAACTGAGCTAAGCACAGCCTCGAATACTTAAGTTTATTTATAGAAGTGGATGTGTGTACATATTATCTACATATGTACTTACATTCTTTCTCTCTTTTCAGCTCTGTGTTTTCTACAGTGGACACTGATGAAATACCAGCTAAACGACCAAGATTAGGTACTAAATAGAAATTTTTAAAATTAGTTTGTTAATAGAAAAATATATGTGGAATGAAGTCCAACAGGGAAAAAGTATACGCAGTGACAAGTCCCTTTCCTAGCTCTTTCCTACTTCTTTATCTTTAGCAGAGGTAGTCACTGTTACTGGGGACTTGCGTGTTTTCCGATAAGTAAGGCTTTGTATTGAGTATGCACTTTAAAGTTCTAAGTCCTCCTATAAAGGTGCTTTTTTATTTTTGAGGAGAAAACATTGTAAAAACAGCTTCAAACTGAGTGATAAAGTTCAGACGCTGAGTGAAGCAACCTAATTTATTGTCACGGATCTTTTACTTACCTATATCTGAAGAGTTGGAAGAGAGTAAGACTAGATTAAAGGGAAAAAGCACAGTAGAATACTGAATTTTCTCTTTTTTTGTCTGTGACTATGAATTTGTGCCTACTCCAAATGGGATGACAGTGTGGGCCTATGTTAATACTTCATTTAACTCCAGTGAATACTTACTGAGCATGTCTCAGTGCTAAGTAATGTGTTAGGTTCTACAAGAAATACAAAAATGGGTAAAACAGGCTCTCAGTATTTAAGGGCCTTTCATGATTGTATGGTAAGGTGTTTGAGATAAGGACTACATAATGAATGCACACCGGAACTAAGAAAGCTGGAATAACAATCCTATGTAATTTAAAAGTGATTGAGAGTCGCAGTAAGAAAAAAAATAATTTGAGACAAGGTCTTGCTTTGTAGTTCAGATCAGCCTCCAACTCACAGGGATCCTCCTGCCTCAGCCTCCTGAGTGCTGGGACTACAGGTGTGTACCACCATGCCCAGCCATTAGGATTTTCTGAAAAGCAGACTACAGAAGGGAATCCAAGTCAAGGAGAAAGTGGTGGCTAGCAAATAGAAAACTTTTTAGTGAGTTTGTAAAAGTCTGTACCTTTCCAGCCGGTAGAATCTCCTGTGATGATGGCTGTCAAGCTTTGAAATGTGGTTCATTTGAATTTTTAATTTTAATTAGTTGAAATAAAATTAGTAGGTTACCACATATGGCTGCCAGCTATTCTGTTGGGCCATATAGCTCTTGGTTGCTTTTGAAAGGGGAAAAAAGCAAGGGAAAAAGGAAAGAAAAGGGGTATCAGAGTAGCACACTCATGGTTTTACAGGTGAAAGGAATTTTAAGAGATGAACTTAGACTGGTCTCCGGAAAATCAGGTCATCCTTGCTCCGTTGTACAGGCGAGGCAGACCTACCTTCCTCCCCTTTAAAAAAACTCAGTGAGATCTTTCGACATAATCTCAAGGTACACCCAGTAATAAACAGAACTTGTAGGGAAATAAAATATTGCAGCACTTTTTGTGGCTGCTACTGACTCTGCTCTTAAGAGCCCCTCTTGGGGTCGGGGTCTGGATGGTGGGCCCGAAACTCTTCTCTCAGAAGGCGCAGGAGGACAGAAGTGCAATCCCTCAGCACTGCTACTGGAAGAACTTGGAGTTCTTTTCGATTTCAAAAACAAAAAGCAGTTTGTTTGCAGACTTCGGTACTTCTAACTTTCCTTAAGTGGCAGATTATTTCAGAGTGTATTGTTACCTAGCCATCACATTTGTTTAAGTTACTCGCCTGTCTGAAAAGTATTTATTTTAAACAATAAAAAAAAAAAATGAAAAGTATTTATTTTATATATTCTAGAGCTCTTCCTGCTTAAAGCCATCATTTGGGGTAATTTTTCTGTGAAGTGATAAGGAGTGTACTACAATACCCTTAATTATGATGTAGAAGGAAATTACAGAAAATGGAGATGTGTGGGAAGTGAGAAGAAACTGTAAGAGGAGGAAGTGGGGAAGTGCTGAAACCTGCCCTTCCTCCTCGTTCACTCACTCATTTTGTAATCGTTGTTTTAGGAAGAGGTGACTCTGAAATCTAACATCTAATCCAGTAGAGGGGTAGCCTTGTTTCATCGTAGATGGCTAAGAGCTGTGCATACGTTTTATACTTCACCTAGTCAAGATTTACTATAGCCCTGAAAAGGGGCTTAGTAAATAGTCATTATGGCAACTCTATTGTTACCTGCCTGAGAAAGAAGGACAAAGCAGCAAGTAAATGACAGAGCTTCCTTAGATTCTGTAAAACCCCGGTGCGTGTTACTTAGTTAAGTATACCCTCATCTCTGATAAAAACTGAAAACTCACTGCTTGCGACCTGCCATTGCAAAACATCTCTTTATGAATCAGTTTGTCATTGGCTAAGGGAATGGTTTCATGTTTTTGTAGGATCTCAGATATTTATTAAAAAAACAAAGATCACAGTATTGGAATTCCAGTTATTCAGTTATACAAAAACATTTTTGTAGATACTTTTTATTTCAGTGTTTGAAATAGGTCTTTTAGTAAAAATTAAGGGAGGTTCTTTCCAAGTTATAAGCTTTTTTTTTTCCACTAGAAGTTTATTACTCTTTATTTATAGTTTCTGGAACTTTCTAGATTGCTTTATTCACCAAGTGAAAAGCCATCTCCACAATGCTGCCAGCTTGTTTGGATTCCCATTCCAGCTGACCACGAAGCCCATGGTGACTTCTGCTTGTAACGGGACGCGGCATGTGGCCCCTCCGGAAGAGGTCAGTGGTGTGGAGCTCTCTTGGGGATACTCATCGGGTTTTCTTTTGTTTTGGTTTGGTTTGGTTTTGGTTTTTTTCCCAGTACTGGGAATTGAACTCACGCCCTCGAGCTTGCCAGGCAGGCACTGTGCCACTGAGCTAAATCCCCAGCCCCACTCATAGGGTTTTGGTTTTCTTTTACCTGGTGCTGGGAATTGAACTCAGGACCTTGTGCTTGCTCAGCAAGAGTTCTGTCACTGACTTACACCTCACCCCAAAGGCTGTCAGTCTGTGTACTTAATTATTAAACTTAAATTTTAGAAATACTGTCTTTTGGGAAATGAATGTGTAGAATGAATTCTTTCCAGAAATATTTGTGTCTTTATTATCCATACTATAAAGGTCAGAAAATGCAAGGGTTACAAAAATTTTTTTTTGGTCTTTTTGAGACAGGGTTTCACTATGCAGTTCAGGCTGGCCTTGAGCTCACTTTGTAGCCCAGGATGGTCTCAAACTCATGATGATCCTTCTACCTCAGCCTCCTGAGTGCTGGGATTACAGACATGCACCACCACGCCTGGCTTAAAGGGTAAAATTTAAATATTTCAAAAGTATTTGCAAAGGATATTGTCCAGATGTGGTGGCACGTGCCTGTATCCTAGCACTGGAGAGGCTGCGGCAGGAGGATTGCTGCAGGTTCAAGGCCAGCGTGGGCTGTATAGCACGTCCAAGGACAACCTGAACTGCCTAGCAAGACCCTCTCTCAAAAAACCAAAAAAAAATCATTGCTTCTGATTTTAAGTTTGTGAAAGATAGTGAAAGTGTCATTTTATATCATTTTGTGACCTTGACAAACCATTGAGCTTGATATCACTTGTTTGAGCTATCTAAGAAATAATTTCTATTCTTTTTTTTTTCTTTTTTTTTCATTTTCTTTTTTTTTGGTATGAGGAATCAAACTCATGACCTCAGACTTGCCACGCAAGCGCTTATGCTGCTGAGCTACTACATCCCTAGTCCCAAAGAAATAATTTCTAATAGTGACCTTTTTATATGATAAACTCATTTCAGTTGCAAAATTTAGATGCTGAAGAGGTGATTCTGTTTGATTTTAAGGTATTTTCGAACTCTTCATCTTGTGAACTGATAGCTTCTGGATCCAGGAACAACATGCTGAAACTGGGTGAGGTGGTCAAAGCTATTTTTGCTTCCTTGTACTTCCTTCTGCCAATTTTCCCTAAATTTTGAGTTTATGAAAGGAAAACACTCCCATGCATGGTGGCACACACCTGTAATCCCAGCACTCGGGAGGCTGAGGCAGGAGGATTGTTGCAAGTTTGAGACCAGCCTGGGCTACAAAGTGAGCTCAAGGCCAGCCTGAACTGCGTAGCAAGACCCTGTCTCAAAAAGACCAGAAAAAGAAAAGAAAAAAAAAGGGAAACACTGAGTTAGATTGGGATGAGAATAAAGTCATATTTTCTCTGCCATTCTAAAAGGCACATACAGGTTTAGTAAGTATTATCTGAAGTGCTTAGGACAAAAGTGTTTCAGGTTTTAGTTTTTAGATTTTGAAATATTTGCATGGACTTTACCAGTTGAGCATCCCTGACCCAAAAGTCTGAAATCTGCAGTTAGAAACCTTTTAAGCATCAGTGTTCAGATTTTCAGATGAGGATCTCAACTTGGGCCTTTTCTTTAGAATTATTGACCAAGTTTACTGTGGTGTTTTCTGTTTGCTTTCTCGATGTGCTTAATGTGACTTAGATCAAGCCTCAGTCATTTAAAACAATACTTCCCAGACAGGTTACTCTGTGCCAGGCACCATGCTATTATCAGTAGTAACCAAATAACGAAACCTGTCCTTGCCCTTGAGGAGCACATCGTCTGCTTGGTGAGCAACATTAGGTTCCCAGTTCCTGCACTTGGATGGATTGAGGACTTCGCCACATCATCGTTAGACCCTGCAGTGCACTTGCAGTTATTGTCTATACAGTACAAAATGATACGTGGGGAAAGGTAGGGAGAAGCCAGAGTTCGGAGAAATGGTGCTAGTGTCTGCCTTATCATGAGACTTGCAAAATTCTAGAGGAAGGAGAAGAAGTTAGGAAATTGTGTATTAGCTTTCTCTTGCTGGGACAGAACACCCACAACTTGAGAGGTTGATCTTGGCTCACAATTTCAGAGACTGCAGTCCATGTTTGGCCGCTCTGAGACAGAAATGGCATGACAGAGGGCTTGGTGAAAGAAAGCTAACTCATAGCAGCGAGGAAGCAGAGCGGGAAGAGCCAGAGCCAGAAGTGTACCCTCCAAAGACTCCCCAGTGAACCCCCTCCTCCGCTGCACAACAGCACTTCAGCGGTGAGCTCATCAGTGTATACTGATGAGTGCAGCACCCTGTGATCCAGCCACCTTCCAGACCCTCACCTCTGAGCAGATGGGGCTTTTGGGGGACATTTCAGACTACAACGCGGTGTCGGGAAAGTTGTGGGCTCCAAAGTCAGAAGTGTAAGAAGCTAAGAAAATGATGTATACCTTGGAGTTACGCTTCTCAGATTCTTAGGGTAAAGTATCTCTAGTGCAAACAAGACCAAGGGAGAGTAAACACAGACCCGTCTGAGGACGTGGTTCCAAAGGGTTTGGAACAAAGATGATGTTTGAATTCTTCTATTTCAAAAGTTGGTGCAAGTTGAATTCAATCTGTTCATATTGTTTGAATATTAACTTATTGTTGTTACTATTATTTGTTATGGTGCTAGGGATCAAACCCAGGGTCTGAGCTGCATTCCCAGCCCATGTTACTGCTTTTCATTAACCTTTTACATTTTGCTGGATTCTTGTACTATCTATTCGTGGAATTTTAGAAAAGAAGGTACTTAGTTCTGTAATATAAATTGCTCACAGGTTTTTTGCCCTAATGCAGATGGTTCACAAAGGTTTTCTCTTTCTTTCACAATTGCAAATACATTCTTAAGGTAATAAATCTCCCAATGGAATAAGTGACTATCCAAAGATCAGAGTGATGGTGGCGCGAGATCAGCCCCGGAGAGTCCTGCCCTCGTCGGGGTAAGTGTCAAATTCTGCCTTTCTGTAAGAGGAGACTCGGCACCTCACAGGTGCTTGCCCCTGTCACGCATACTCACTTTCGTGCTAGTATGTAGCACCCTTACGTACTCTGAGGTTTGGGACTCACCCAGTGTCACGCAGCTAGTTAGAGACTTGAACTTTTTCTTTTGTTTTTTTAGGCTTCTTTATTTTGTTCTGTTTTTTGAGATGGGGTCTCACTGTGTAGTCCAAGCTGGCCTTGAACTCATTGTTTAGTCCAGGCTGGCCTCAAACTCACAGTGATCCTCCTGCCTCAGCCTCTCACATGCTGGGACTACAGTCATATGCCACCACACCTGACAGTTGAACTTTTTCTAGTGTATGACATGCCTCATAGCCTAATCTAAGAACCTTTTAAAAGAATTGCTACTTCAAATTTTTAAAAGAATGTAACATGCATACAGAGAAGTATAGAAATCAAGTATGATAAATTTTTGTACACTGACCATTATACCATCAGTTCTGTAGCATGTTTTTTTTGTTTTTTTTGGTTTTTTTTTTGATCCTGGGGATTGAGCCCAGGGCCTTAGTATTGAGCTATAACCTCAGACCTTTTTATTTATTTTCTTTTTTTTGAGGGACAGGGTCTCATTGAGTCACTAAATTGCCCAGGCTGGGCCTGCAGTCCTCCTACGTCTACCCCCAGGAGTGCTGGGATTGCAGGCATACACGGCCTCTTCTTATCTGAGTACTAATTTTTTCCCTCCTCCTTCTGTACTCTCACTTTCTAGTGTCCTGTAGTGTAGATGTTAGACTTTCTAAAGTGATACAGTTTTCTTGTTTGAGAATATATTTGGGTAGCCTTGAATTGGAGGCCTATTTACTAGTGCGTATTGTACGTATTAACGAGGTGCACGTCAGTAGCTTTGTACGTGGATGTGGCACATGTCGGTCATGTCCACCCCCTCTCACCCCGCTCTCCCCCATTCGCCTCCTGTTCGCGTCCTCTTCCCTAATAGTCTCCCTTCTACTTTTATTCGTCTGTCTGTCTTTTGCTATGTAGTCCAGCCCGGCCTTGAGCTCTTCATCCTGCCCAGTGCTGGCATTACAGTAGACCTGTGCCGCCACACCCAGGTTTCTCTGTTTTTGTCAGTTTTGTTTTGTTTTTGTCTCTTTTTTGTAGATCCCACATAAGAGAGATAATGTGTAATATTTGTCTGGCTTATTTCCCTTACCACCTCGCTCTCCAGTGTGTTCCTGTGGATGATGTCACTGCATTTCATAGCTAATAATACTCCATTGTGTACAGCACGTTTTCTGTATCCATTCATCCACGTCTGGGCACCTAAGCTGATTCTATAGCTTAACGCTTGTGAGCTGGGCTGTAGTTAATGAGTACTCAGGTATCTCTGTACCATGCAGACTCTAATTCTGTCAGAAATATAGCTGAGAGGGGCTGGGGATTTAGCTCAGCGGCAAAGCTCCTGCCTGGCAAGCGCAAAGTTGTGAGTTCGGTTGCCGGTACCGGAGAAAAACCAAAAAAAAAAAAAAAAAAAAAGAAATATAGCTAAGAGTGGTAGAGCTGGGTCAAATCGTAGCTCTATTTCTAGTATTTTGAGGCTCCTCCTACTGATTTCCATAGCAACTTACTGATTGACATTACCACCAGTAGTGTATATGGGTTCCTTTTTTCAGGACATCCTTCTCAACATTCATTCATTCATTCATTTCCAATACTAGGGGTAGAGGAATAGAACCCAGCAATGTTCAACCACTGAGCTACATTCCCAACCCTTTTTATTTATTTATTTATTTTTTTTATTTTGAGGCTCTCCACTGAGCTACAGTCCTAGCCTTTTTTATTTTTCTTATTTTGAGACAGGGTCTCACTAATTGCCTGGGGTAGCCTTGAATTTGAGGTCCTCCTGCCTCAGTCTCCTGAGTAGTTAGGCTTATAGGTATGTACCACTGTGCCTGGCTGACCTGTGATTATTTTGAAGTATGTTGAAGGCTTGAAGTATGTTGTTTAATTTTCAATTATTTGGAACCTTCCAGATATCTGTTACTGATTTGTGACTTAATTCTTTTGTGGTCAGAGAATATATTTTGTGTGATTTTAGTTCTTTAAAGTTTATTAACTTTTTATTTAGCATATGGTCTCTCCGCATGATTTTCCATGCACCCTTAAAAATAGTGTTTTGCTATCAGATAGGGTGTTTTGTAAATGTCAGGTCAAGTTAGTTTATAATGTTTTCAGATTTTGCTCATTTTACTCCATAGTTTTTGGGGGTTTTGTTTGGTTGGTTGGTTGGTTTTTCAGTTTGGTTTGGTTTGGCTTATTGAGACAAGGTTTAGCCATGTGGCCCAGGTTGGGCTCAAACTCCTGCCTCAGCCTCTGAAGTACTGGGAATAGAGGCATGTGGCACCATGCCTGGCCCTTGACCCTGTTTCACCAGTTATTGTATTCCTACATTTATTTTCATCATTCTCTGTCCTGTATACGTAATTTTTTTTTTTTTCTGAATAATTTGAGAGTATGTCTTTAACTCTTACCCTTTTAATTCTAAATATTTGAGCTTATTTTTTAAGAACCAGTTTACATCCCCGTGTGGTGGCACATACCTGTGATCCCTGTTGCTTGGGAGGCTGATGCAGGAGGATCATAAATTTAATCCCAGCTGGGTGACTTGAAAACTGAAAAACTGAAAAATGTGGAAAACAGGCTGGGGATGCAGTTCAGTGACCGCTTGCCTCACAAGTGCAAAGCCGTGGGTTCAATCCCCACCCCACACCCAATGAAAAAGAAAGGAATTGATTTACATCACCATGGATTACAAAACAGAGAAACTTCAGTATCAGTATAGTATTCTTATGTAATCTACAGGTCTCATTCGAATTTTTCTGTTATAGCTTTTCTTCCCACCCTGGACCAGGCTCTAGTGCAAATTACATCCCGAATCTAGTGTTCACGTCTGTTTGATCTACTTTAATCCGTAACACTCCTTAGTCTTCCTTTGTCGTTGATGACACGAGTATTTTATTTTTGTCTGATGTTTACTCAGGGTCTGCGTCAGATCTCTCATTGTTTTTGTAGTGATATCGCCTGATGGTGCACCCTTCAGATGGTCACATCAGCCAGGGTGCTATGTTTGTTCTGTTCACGGCAGGAGAGGACAGACAGATTCTGTCACCAATTTCAGTGCCTTGGGAGGTTCCATTGCTTTGGTTCCTTAGCATTTATTTATTAATTTTACCTATTTTTTTAATATCAAGTAAAATATATCAGTTTAGGGCTGGTCAGTCTTTACACTTCTGTAATACTAATCTTTTTTTTGAAACAGGGTCTTACTGCATAGTTCAGGCTGGCCTCAAACTTGTAACAGTCCTGCCTCAGCTTCCTGAGTGCTGGGATTTCAGGCATGTACCACCTGAGTTTCTTTTAAAGCAGTGCTGGGAATTAATCCCAGGGCTTCACTATGCTAAGCACACAGTTCTATCACTGAGATACCCCACCTCCTCCGTTTTTTTTTTTTTTGCTTGAGGCAGGGTCTCACTATATTGTACAGGTTGGCCTTAAATTCCAGGGCTCAAAATATCCTCCTGCCTCAGCCTCCTGAGTAGCTGGGACTACAGGCACACACCACTGTGCCCAGCCTAGTATTTATGAATTCAGCATTCATTAGAGGGGCTCTTGGTATAGATTGTGTACCAAGATGGAGTGATAAAAGGATGTAACATCTCTTTTCATAGATTTTAAAGTTTAGTGTGACATACGGGCATGGACAGATAATCTCACCAGTAACTAATCCCTGTGTTACCCAGTGACTGGAGAAAGAGTACTGGAGGGGGTGCCGTGCCGCGAGGGGCCTAAACGTGGGGCTGGTTGTGGAAACCGGCCCTGAGGAAGAGGGCTTCGCTCTGGTGCAGACAGTGGGTGCTGCAGGGCGCGAGGCTGGATCTCACTCTCGCACTTGGAGCTCCTGTGACCCTGGGCAGGCACCGGCCGGCCGCGTAATCACAGCGCACTCCAGGAGCTTCGCTCAGCCCTTGGAGTGCTTTGATGAGACATTGTTTTGCTTCTTTCTCTCAGTTTTTCTTTGAACTCAGACGGCTACAATAGAAGACCCAGTGGCCGTCGCCATAGCAAAGGCAACGCGGAGAGTTCCTCGCTGTGGAGACCGCAGGAGCAGGCTGCCTCCGAGATGGCACCCGAAGAGGGTGGCAAGGGCCTGAGGCGTCCCCACCGCACCGTGGAGGAAGTAAGTCTTTTTAGGTGGATGGCTTAGGAATTTTACATGATTTGGGGGAATGAATGCTATGTGGCCGCGGTGTGAGGTTCAGAAGCTGCGGGGTGCTGTGACGTCGCAGTGTCCCGCCGCACCGGCCTGCGCTGCGCTTTGGCCTCAGCGTGGCCGCCGTGCGCTGCGCGTGTGCCCCCGGGGGCGGGCTGGAGACCCGCGCCGGGCCCTTCCCGGTAGTTACTCGCGTTGGAAAGGAGGAGGGGTCCTGTGGGGAAGAGACGAGGTGGCGATCTCTTTGGGGGCCCAGGTCCCCTAACTTGTTTCTTTTCTACACGTCCGGAACAAGTGACTGAGTAAGGGAAGTAGGTGGTGTGTGTCCTTGCTTTTTCCTTCCCTTTTCAGAGCACTTACCGTGATGGAGAGACACTCTTTACTTCGCTCTTGAGGTCTTCATTGATTTCAGGAAAATTTAGAATTGTTTTGTGTCTGATATTCCACAGGGCCATCAGTCATTTTAATTTACTGGGTGATTTTCCAAGCAGCTTGTTTTCTTTTTTTCTTTGTCTTTTTGAGATAGGGTGTACAGTATGCAGTTCAGGCTGGCCTTGAGCTCACTTTGTAGCTGAGGCAGTGATCCTCCTGCCTCAGCCTCCAGAGTGCTGGGATCGTAGGTGTGCGACACCACGCCCAGCCTCAGATACTTGTTTAGTTTATCACAGAACTATTTGTGTTCTAGATACTATGCTAGTTGCCTGCAGTTGAAACTTGAATGAAATATGTTGACATAAGTAATTGTACCTTAAGAGCTTGTTTGGAGGTTCTAGCAGGGGAGCGCAGCTCTCGTATATCCCTGACTGAAGAACCGTCCTCCTCTATTGGGGTGGTCGTCCTCTTTGACTGAATATGCAGGTTCAGGAGGGACGCACGTGGAGCATTGAGGGAGGAAGGGGACACCCGCCCAGCCAGCCAGAGCAGCTGAATCACCCCTGGCGGTCAGTGGGGTGACAGATGTCGCAGCCAGATCGCCCTCACATCCGACATAAATAATTGTAATTCGACTAACAGATAGATAGAGGAAAGGACCGTAGCCCTGGGACAGGTTTGTAAGAAGAGTTCTTAAAGACGTCAGGGTGTTCGGTGAGGAATCAGAGAAGGGGCTGTGCTAATGTGTGCATGGAAGTCACATCCCAGAGGTGACCGGGTTAAGTGTGAGGTGGCAGAGGGAAGAGCCTGAGGCCCAGGTTTCAGTCTCGGGTACATACGTGTCACTGACCACGATGCCCTGCCCTGTGTGTTTAGGGAGAAGATGATGGCCTCAGTTTTGGACACTGTTTAAAGTGCCTGTGAAACATGCAAGAAGACTTCTCCTGTAGACTCTTGGATATAGGTGATGGTAGTTCTGAGAACAAGGCAGGGTTGGAGACACATTTCTGAAATTTTTGTGTATGGATATTTAAGTCAAGGGAGCTCATGATATTTTTCAGGGAAAGAATGTAGCATGAAAAGAGATTTGGGCAAAACCATCAGAATTTATGGCAGGCAGAAGAGGGAACAATCTGCAGTGGAGACTGAGAAGAAAATAAAGTTTGTGTCCAGGAGGGCAAGGCGAGGTCAGCCTGGAGAGAGGCTGAAGGGAGTTCGCGTGCCTCACAGCTAAGGACGGCCCCTGGGATGTGGCCATAGATGGTCAGCACTGACTTTGGAAGCTGAGAAGTCTAATTATGCACATGGAGTATTTCTGCCCTTTTTGTGTGGTTCTCTTTTTTTGTTCAGCCCAAACCTGTCGCGAACTCGGGTGCAGCCAAGATCTAGCAGAGGGTTGAATGAGTGAAGTGGGGTCCAGTACATGGGAATCACAGATTGGTGATTCACTTTTCAAAAGAGGCCGGTATTTGGGGTTTGGGTTTTTTTGTTTGTTCGTTCTTGAGACAGGATCTTGCTGTGTAGCTTAGGCTGGCTAAACTCACAGTGATCTTTCTGCCTCAGCCTCCTGAGTGCTGGGGTTACAGGCATGCACCACCATGCCCGGCTGGCTTTTAGTTTTTAATTTATAAATTAGGAAGTTAATTCAATTTTGGTTTTTTTCCCAATACTGGGAATCGAACTCACGACCTTGCACTTGCCAGGCAGGCACTTTGCCGCTGACCTAAATCCCTAGCCCCTAGGAAGTTAATTCAAAGCGAATTTAAAAACATTATGCTGGCACTTGAAACACATCTGTAGACTGCATTTGACCTTTAATGTCGGGTTATGATTTAGTTTTAGGTTTAGTGTGCTAGTATTTCTCTAACGTGCTTTCTTTCATTCAGGGTGTTCAGAAAGAAGAAAGAGAGAAGTACCAGAGGTTATTAGAGCGACTTAAAGAAGGTGGTCACGGAAGCTCTGTCCCTCCTGTAACTTCACACCATCACAGGTAAATAAGCTAATAAGATAAATGCCTTGTTAGGTATCTTTTTCATCATTTTTGGAGAGGGGTTGGTGAGAAGGGCTTGTTGAAAAAAGGCTATCACTGAGCAGACATGGTGATGCACGCCTGTAACAGCACCCTGTGAGATTGGGGCAGGAACATGGCAAGTTTGAGCCCAGCCTGAGCGACTTAGTGATTTAGAGAGACCTGATGTCAAAGTAAAAAACTAAGAGAGGGCTGGGAATGTAATTCAGCGCAGTGTTCTTGGGTTCAGTCTGCAGCACTGCAAACAAGAAAAGAAAAAAGGCTGATGCTAAGAGATGTATCTAGTAATGCATTACATGGAACCACTGGCTTTGCAAAGTAGACTGTTCCTTTTTTGCAATAGTATCATGAAGTTGACCTTGAACTCATGATCCTCACCTCAGCCTCCTGAGTAGCTGCGATTACTGGCATGTGCCACCATGCCTGGCCCCAAAACAGCTTACTAGCTTTGAACTCCCTTGTCCACGGGAAGTCTTCATGAAATTCTGGTCTGGGAAAGCGGCTCGCTGGTGGAGGCAGAGTTTTTGCAGCCTCCCACACACATTTTCCACCCATGAGCCTTGTCTCTCTCACTCCCTTTCTTCCCTGCTGCTTCTCTCTTGCCTGTGTCTCCACTTCTTTCCTCACCCTCCCTTCCTTCCTTTCTCTCTTTTTCTTCCTCCCCCCGTTTCTCTCTCTTTCACCTCCTTAAAGTCACGGGTTTTTTTCCTTTCCTTCTACCCCAATCTCAGCACTCTTGGAAACCCTCGATTTCAGAGACAAGGTTAAAGTCGCCGAGTCCTATTTTCGTTAATGAAGTCTAATGATTTGTGTGACTGGATGAGAGCAGTAGGCAGTGGCGATGTTTGGCCTTTTACTCGCCCGTGAGAGAGTGCAAATTGTGTGAGCTCAGGACTCAGGTGCACTTGGTAATTGTAACAAGCGGGGTGCAAATCCTCAGGTCCCACAAGTTACGTAATGGCAAGGTGATGGTGAAGACTCTAGCTTATTGTGTACAGAAAAAAGCATTCCTTTGGAGTTTTAATTCTGGTTGTGAACTGTTTTGTGGTTTTGTTTGTTTCAGTCTTAGTATAGTGTGTCAGAATATTAATACTTTCTCCATTTTGATGAGCAGTATGCTTAATGAACTAGAGTTTGTCATTTTGGCAAAAATCTTCAAACTATTTTGCTTTTTTATATTCCTGCTTCTAATGCATTGTTATAGACTCCATTTAAACACAATAGTTTTAAATCATTCTGTATTTTATTTTATTTTTTATTTTGTTGTATTGGAAATGAAACCCAAGCTTTGCACATGCTATGCTCTATGCCCCAACCCTTTTCGTCTTTGAATTTGAGACTTATCACGCTGAAATTTTTTAATCAAAAGGCACTGGGAATAGAGAATATCCAGTTTAAAAAATACAGTGGAGGGGCTGGCCATAGTGGCACACTCCTGTAATCCCAGCACTTGGGAGGAGGCTGAGGCAGGAGGATCGCCACAAGTTCAAGACCAGCCTGCACTACGTAGTGAGTTCAAGGCTAACCTCAACTACATAGCAAGATGCTGTTTCAAAAAGAAGAAATACACTGGAGGTTCGGTAACTTCACTGAGTAGTAGAATCAGAGTCACACTCCACTATGTTGCTTCCTCTCTGTTGTAGCTTGATGTTACAGAGCGAACAGTAACGCCCTGTGTGGAGAAGCTTGTCAGACAAAGATAATCAGTATTCATGGTGCACTTGCCTTCGGTATTTGATCTTTCTCGTTTTTTGTGTCTCTTAAGTTCTCAGAGAAGTCACATGGACACATTAAAGACCAAAGGCTGGATGGAAGAGCAGAGTCACGGAGGCAGAGCAACTCAGTTTGTTCCAAAACAATGTGAGTTCCCAACTTAGGCGCGGTTTAACTGCTGGCCTTAGTCCGTGTTAGAGTATGCCTGTGCCGGGCTGAAGTTGACGCTGGAGGTATGGCCAGAAAATGCAGTGAATGCTGCCACCAAGTGCTCTCGCATGGAAACGCAGGGCTCTTAACTAGGGGAAATGGCACCGCAAGCCTGGGTAACAGTGGGATCAGTTCGGCGCAGTCAGCGGCTACGAGCTGCGGTTGAAAGAAGGTGTGTTTTAAACTGTGCCCTAAGTCCCTGCTCACAGACAGCACATTTCATTGGTGCTGCATAGTCCTGCCATATCAGATTCTAGCTTTTTAAGAAATGTCATCACAGAAGATGGAACTTGTGTCTGTGGTGTTGGTCCTGAGACCAAGGTTCAGAGTTCTCAGTGGAAATCACCCAGTTTCCTCGTATGAAAAAAACGCATCCATCAAAATGCAGCATCAAAGTGATGTTGGTTGTGGTTTAAGAAACGATGTCACTCAGGAGGCTGAGGCAGGCAGATCATGAATTTTAGGCCAGCCTGGGCTACATAGTGGGTTCAGAGCCACTTGGAATATTGTGAACCCACAGTTCACTGTGCTCCTTACGTTGCTTCCTTGTGTTTGTCTACTGACTGCCCCCTGAATGACATTAGTCACTTACCATAACAGGTTCTAGTTTATGCTAAGATTATATTTACTGGACAAAGAGATTTATGCATTTTAAAGTTTGTAAGAATGTTAGTATCTTTGAAATTGACTTCAGCATTTCGGGGTAAATAAATGTCACACTTTGAAAACTGTAAGTTGAGGTATTCGTTCATAATGGATTAGTAAACAGTTTTTTCTTTTCCATCCTCACAGATAGAGCTTTTGAAACAAGGGGACCTCTCTGTCCAGTGAGGAGTGAAAAAAGGTACATAGTCCAGGTCACCCTAAGTTTTCATTTTCTCGCTTTTTAAGCTATATTGTGAGTAACTAGGCCTGAGGATTGGAACTCCCTTCGGCCCTGGTTCTAGAACGTTGAGCCTGTGTGAGAGCACAGTAGCTCTTGACTGAGGCACCAGCCCTTGCTTGGGCGGGTAGCGCTCGTCTCCGGAGGGTCAGGCTCGGACAAGCGCAGGGATGTTTCCTGCGGGGAGGGGGATCCTGTGGTCACTGTGTCTGATGCAGTCTCTGCGTGCCATAGGGCTTGCGCGGTGGTTTATAACAGCTTAACTGTGGCCCAGCGGCCAAATCTGCTCCACCTGTTCATTGGAACACCGTTGTGTTCACTGATTTAGTAGCGTCTGTGCCTGCCTTTAATGTGTTCACGATGGGCCAGAATTCATACGTCTCACTGCCGAGAGGCTCTGATTTGAGTTTATTAGTGAACTGATAAACGTGATTAGATCCGTTCGGGCCACCAGTGGTACAGGCCACCCTATGGGGCAGTCGTGCATGTACCACTGGTGGCTCAAGCCGGCCGGAACATGTTAAACTGCGGTGGTGGAGTAGAGAAGGTGTGACTAAGGCTGAAGTGTTCGCTGTTGCCTTCCTTTCAGAAAGGAAGACACTGACCACTGGTTTCAAGGACGATGTAAACTCAAGGCTTTTTTTGCGTACAAATTAATCTCATTTCTAAAACTAGTCAAATATGTATCAGACTAAAGTCATCCAGCAGAAGTCTGTACTCTTAATATTTTCCCTCAGGTGTTCAAAGGGGAAAATTTCTGATGCAGAGAAGATGATTGGACTCAGACCCGAAAACGAAGGTGTAAGTAGAAACTTAATTTTACACCTGCTCTCACCAGACGTACGTTTTGCTGTGCATGAAAAATAAGGAGACACGATACATGCTACTTCGACTTTTAATGCCATTGTTCTCTTTGCAAAAACAGGAAGTTTCAAAGATGCACACATTTTGTTTTCTTCTGTTTTCCTTCTTCATTGCTGAATTTTTACATCTCCAGTAGCCACCCTGTTTATGAAAGACCAGTCTGACACCATCACAACATTTATATATGTTGCGTGACTTCTTTTGAAAAATTGTTTAAAATTCATCTCTAGGAGAAAAAAAAAAATCATCTCTAGGAAAGATATGACATGTTCAGGACTTCGTTTTCAGAGTTTCATTTTTTAGGTTTCATACTTACTGGAAAACACTAGCCATCTAATGCTTTATTGGCTTTTTCATTAAGTAATAAAATAAGTGTTCCAGTGATCTCCTTATCAGTACTAACAGTTTTAACAACAGCGAAGTGTTTTGGTAAGCATTCACTATCCAGCAGAAGTCTATTCCTACCTTAAATGCAACTTCAAGTTCTAGATTATTCATATTGTAGGTATGTAGAACTGCGGAAGTGTCAGGTCTGCTTTAAGTTTGGTTAAGTTTGTGCTCTGATTGTACTTCTGAGGAGTTCTTCTTCAAACCAGGTACGTTGGTACACACTTGCCTTCCCAGCTGTTTGGAAGGCTGAGGCAGGAGGGTTGAAAGTTCAAGGCCAAGATATCAATATGTAATACAATAAGTATTGTTAATTCCCTACCACTCCGTTTGTAACTCTGTAATGTCTGTACTGATCCTATGCTATTTTGTAAAATGTTGTCGGTCTGTTAGTATTTTCCTCCTTTTATTTCTAAAAGAAAAAAAAAGAAAAAAAAAAAGTTCAAGGCCAGCCTGGGCACTTAGCAAGACCCTGTCTTAAAAATGACGATGTAGCTCAGTGTTAAGAGTGCTTGCCTAGTACTCAGTTCAGTCCCCAGTACTGAAAGAACAAAAGAAAAAGAAGCTCCAAAAGGCTAAGTCAGGTGTGGAGTTGTAAGTTTTAGAACTTCTTTCTCTGATGTTCCCATTTCCACTGATTCAGAGTGGGCTTAATTATTATTAATTATCATTTATTACCTGGAGAGCACAAACTAAAATGATGCATCTGTATTTGCAGCAACGTCGGAAACTGAGACAGGGTAATCACTCGAGCCCAGGAATTAGAGACCAGCCTGGAATCTCTCTCAAAAATAAAAAAATAAAAATAAAAACTAAAAAGAGAAGGGAACTACACCTGAGAGGACGGACAGGGGCGGGGGCGTTTTAGACCTGACTCAGGGTTGCATCGTGCTCAGTCCCTACGCACCTAGGAAAGACACCTGCAGTGGGCTAGAATGAGGAGTACCGGTGCGCTGTCTTCACACGAGTGTGATTCATTCAAGTCCTCGACTCTTATTTCTAACTGCGTCTCAGTTTTATAATTTCCATCTTTATTTGTCAGTGCTGGGTTGAACCTAGGGTTTCGTGCATGTTGGGCAAGCCTTCCACCAGAGCTACAGCCCAGCCCTGAATTTCCTAATTTACAATAGTTTGCCTGGTAGGTGACTTAAATCTGTATTAACAGTTACATAGGCTCTGATAGGGAAGGGTCTTAGCAGAGTTTCTGGGATGTGCAGAGTTCTTTTCATTGACCCGAATAGCAGCCACACAGATGTTCATTTTCCAAAAAGTGAGTAGTACATTAATGTTTTAGGCATGTGTGTCTTTTTTGCCCATGTTTTACCCATTTATTATTCAGGATATTACAAAGAATATGAAGACCGGGCATGGTGGTGCATACCTGTAATCCTAGCACTCGGGAGGCCGAGGCAGGAGGATTGTTGTGAGTTCAAGACCAGCCTGGGCTACAAAGTGAGCTCAAGGCCAGCCTGAACTGCGTAGCTATACCCTGTCTCAAAAAGACCAGAAAAAAAAAAAAAAAGAACAGGAATGAACAGCCAGGTGGAAGGGAAACACAGAGGCCCAGGATGGGAGATGTGGCCTAGGGCATCCATGTCCTCTATCCATGTCCTCTAATGGCGACCTCCCCTGGGTGATTCACTGTTCAGCAGTCTGCAGGCGCCCCAGAACCAATTGTCGGGCTTTTGTGGAGGCTTTGTTACATAGGCATGATTAAATTAAAAAGATGAAATCGAATGTGTTTTCTTAGTGTAAGGGTAGCAGTAGTTTATTCTCAGTGATGGGGTTGTAGGTCATATTTTTGCTGTCTTAAACTTTTCAAAATGTGTTCTAACCGTACTAATTTTAAGTGGGATAGAAGAACTGAAATACTTTCCTTGCCACTTCCAAAGAACGTGGTGAGTGTTCTGTTTTATGGTCTGTTTCATGGTTTGTATTTTGAGACCAGGTCTCACTATGGTGTCCATAAACTCACTAGACAGTTCAAACTGACCTCGAATTTGCTATGATCCTGCCTCAGCCTCCTGAGGGCTGGGTTACAGGTGTGTGTGTGTTCACACATGCAGCTTCTTTCATGCTTTGTAACTGAGGTACCCTATGAGCCCTAGCTCACAGGTTTTTGTTTTCTTTTTCCTTGCTAGGACAGGCAGGTATGATAAATCTGCTTACACATTTGGAGGATTGGCTAATTGTCTTTTCTTTCAAGATTATGGCACTGTCTTATAGTTCATGTGTAATGTGTGTAATATGGCAAGTATCAAACATGGCAATAGAATGTAGAAACTTTCTGCCCAGAGGAGGGGACACCAGCTGGAGCCTGACCTATCGGAAGAAGTGTCGGCCCGACTTCGCCTGGGCAGTGGAAGCAATGGCTTTCTCAGGAGGAAAATGTCAATACTTGAGGCGAAGGAAAAGAATTTCTCAGGCAAAGAGAGGGACAGAAGAACAGATGATCAGCTTGAACTTACAGAGGTATTGTTCCTTGTGTTGGTCAGAGTAAGAGGCATGTTTTTCAGTAACCTCGATTACGCTAAACTTGAATGCTTTGTTTTGAGGAGTTTCTCTGGATGAGCCGTAAATGTATAGAAAATAAAGATCAGGCTCAAGGTCTGCTCACTCTGGCTAGCTTGATCATTATGATCTGTGAAGGTGCCTGACAGAAGAAATAGAATGGATTCTGTGTAGACTCTTTCTGTACATTTCAAACGTTGCGTTATCTAGTACGGTACTGCGAATGAGTGCATCGCAAGTTTTTTTAAATGACTACATACAGTGTTGCAGAACTTCGCTTTCATTGATCATTGTATTTGGAAGTAACGAGGCTTACAGAAAACAAGGAAATTCAAGTAGTTAACATTCTTATTTTAAAGGGGGACCCTATACCTCGGCTCCTCCTCTGTGGTTGACTTCGTAGATGGTAGTCCCATTTGATGTGTATCTCTTGAGCACTTCCTGTATGTTGGGCACAGAGGTTGAAAGAAAGTCATAAAACAGCAATTGTGTTCAATGGAGAGAAGCACTTGTAAAAGAATTTGGAGGAGAGTAACTGACTGGGTTTACAGAGTCAGTTTTGTAGCTTAGATACGCATTTGTCTGCACACTTCTTTAGAATAAGGAAGCCAGCGGTTCCACAGAGGGCTGGCCATTGGCAGGATTGCTTTGTTACGTCTGAATATTTTTACGCAGTTGGTAGGTCTTGGGACCCTATATTTTTCTCAGGGTCGCGACATTGTTGACATGAAAGCTTTCTTCAGTGTCAAACTTCGAGTATCTGATGGGGGGTTCTGTTAAAGTGGCGTCCTCCGGCCTTTCTCATTCAGGACATGGAGAAGGAAATCAGTAACGCCCTCGGCCACGGCCCGCAGGATGAGATCCTGAGCAGCGCTTTCAAGTTGCGAATTACTCGAGGAGACATCCAGACCTTAAAGAACTATCACTGGCTTAATGACGAGGTAAACTGTCTTTTTCCTCCCTTGCCTATCATTACGTTTAACTCTTTACTGTCTGCAACCCAGGTGATTTATCACCTTCACGCCGAGAGTTAAAACGGGAACATCCCGAACCTTAAACAGGTACTATTTGCTACAGTATTGCCCTCTGTGCGTCTGTATTTATCCATCGTTTTATTAGTCTTCAGTGACGTTTTTATAAACCCTGATAAACGGAAGGTGTTTTATTTGAATGATGTCTTAGTGTGTTCCTGCTGCTGTCACAGAATACCACAGATGAGGCGGGTGGTTCCTGGGCAGTAGGAGTTCTCTGTTCACTGTCCTGGGAGCTTGCAGTGACAGGAGGAAGGCGGGGGCCTCGCACACGCTCCCCTCCCCGGCACCCTGCCTCTCTCCCTTCAGCCGCTGTTAGGAGGGCGGGGACCCCATCCCTGAGGTGGCGCCCTGAGGCCAGATCACTTTCCAGAGGCCTCAGCGCTGAGTCCTTCCCGGAGGTTCAGACCACAGGAAGCAGTAACTACGGAAAGGGCCTCCTTACCTCATCTCTTCACATTCTTAGCAAAGGCTGCGGCTTCGTCTTCTGGCGGGTTTCCCGGCTGCTCAGTCCCTGCGTTTTCCCCCTTCGCCTTTCTCACCCGTCCCCAGTGCCGAATTACCTAAAACCCAGTGTTGTAAAACTAGAATACTTCGTTGCACATTGTAAATGTAACATACTTACTACAGGAAATTTGGAAAAGGCAGGAATAGTAAGTTATTGTTCAAAGTGCCGTAAATATTTTGGTGTGCCTCCGCTTCCAGTTACTGTTTTTAAATTGAGGAGTAATTTCTGTGTGGTGACAGTCCCTCGTGGTTAATCTTCCTTCGAATCTTCAGTGTGATCCAGCTGCACAGACCGTTTCACTATGGCAACCTCGTGGCTCTGAGCTGTTTATTCCTTCTTTTCTTCTTTCTGGTGGTCAGGCTGGCAGTGTGCCTCTTGTGGGAGGTGAGCGCTGCAGCCCTGGCTAACCCCCCGCCCCACCTTCCCTCTTCCGCTCACCCATTCTGACTGACCAGGTTGTTGCTGTTGTTGCTGGTACCGGGAATCGAACTGAGGACCTCACACTTGCCAGGCAGGCGCTGTACCGCTGAGTTAAATCCCCAGCCCTGACTGATGAGTTATTTTGTCTTCTTCCATGTCTGGTCTTTTCATTCTCATTTTTACTTCCTGCTCATCCCTACTCATCTCACTTTCTACTTCATACTAACTCAGAAATTTAGTTTTGATGATGTATTCACCACGTTCCAACCTTTGTTCTCTTGGTATTTTACAGGTCATTAATTTTTACATGAATCTTCTCGTGGAAAGAAATAAAAAGCAAGGCTACCCAGCACTTCACGCATTCAGTACTTTCTTCTACCCTAAGTTAAAGTCTGGGGGTTACCAAGCAGTGAAAAGATGGACCAAAGGGGTAAATCTCTTTGAACAAGAACTTATTCTGGTGCCTATTCATCGGAAGGTACATTGGAGCCTTGTGGTGAGTGAGAGGCTGGCGTTGGGGGAGGGTCTCGGTGTTGGGGCTGGGACACAGGCCGGTCTGAGAGCTGGAGCCGCGCCCGCCCGCCCGCCCGGCGCAGGTCAGGTGCTGGCGTGCAAAGTGCAGAGCCCTCGGGTCTCAAGGCGCGTGATTCGGGAAGCTAGAAGAGTCTCTGTTTGAGGAGCTTTTGTTTACAGCAGAAGAGGATTTGGGGGTTTTTTTGAAATTTTATTTAGTTTGCTTGTAAGATGGTACAGGCTTGTTACACGGAAATGAAGGTAAAGGAAAAAGCTAAACTCTCACCATGCTGGACTACTGTTGCTTTGGCGAAAAGTTTCTAGACTTCATCTGGGAATAGAAATATATTAAACTCATCATCTGTGGCTTTCAATAACTTTTTCTTAAAAGTAAAATTGTGTCAAAATCCATTCACATTGGGTTGTTGAAGTCATGCTTCTCTTTTTGGAAGTATAATTGTTACTCCTACTAGAGTTTAAGATCTTTCTGTTTCTGGATGTTGTTTTTTCCTATTATAGGTGATGGACCTAAGAAAAAAGTGTCTTAAGTATCTGGATTCTATGGGACAAAAAGGCCACAGGATCTGTGAGATGCTCCTGTAAGTACAGCGGCAGCCTTCACCGTTGTCTGCTTACACCTGCGGAGGCGTCTCGTGTGTGTACCCCTAGGAGACTAGATGGCAGGCGTACTGTGCAGTTAAGCCTGGCTCCCAGGGGCTCAGGGCTTTGGAACCCATTTTTTATCTAAAAGTAACCTAATATAGCATCTTGGCTAAGTCCTATTTAGGATTATCGTTGAAAAAAAGTTCTGTGTGTGTGTGTGTGTGTGTGTGTGTTACTGGAGATTGAACTCAGGGCCTTTGCACTGATCTACATCTCTAGCCCTTTCTCAGTTTTTAAATTTTGGAACAGGGTCTTACTAAGTCACCAGTTGCCCAGGCTGGGCTTGAACTTTTGATCCTCCTGCTTCGGCCTCCCAGAGTGCTGGGATTACAGGTATGCTCCACTGTGCCCAGCTAAATATATCTTATCAGAATCCTGTGATTTGAATTAAATTTCTGTGGGATTGATACAGTAATACCTTGGTTCACAGATATTTCCGTTTGTGTACAGAAATGTTCAGCAAAATTTTGTTTCTGTTGGTGAACTCTGCACCATGGGATTCTTCCCCCAAATCCTAGAACAAGTTAATTTCATGAACTGAGTACCACTGTATTCCAGATGTTCTAAAGCTGTTAACTGAGGGGGGAGGGTATTAGTCTTGTAAATTCGGAAGCTAACTCATGTTTGTGCTTTCTGTTGATAATTGGGTTTATCTCATAGAACTCAGGGGTAATTTTCGTTTTTTATTTTTGTAATACCGGGGATTGAACTCAAGTAGTCCTGAGCTACATCTCTAGGCCTTTTCAGGATTTTTTTGTTTTTTGAGACAGTCTCTGTCCCTGCAGTTCAGGCTGGCCTTGAACTATGTAGCCCAGGGTGGCTTCAAATTTGAGGTGATCCTCTTATCTCAGCTTCCTGAGTGTGGGGGATTGCAGGTATATACCACCACCAGCTCTTTTTTAAATTTTGACTTAGGGTTTTGCTAAATTGGCGAGGCTGGCCTCAAATTTGTGGTCCTTCTGTGTCAGCCTCCCAAGTAGCTGGGATCACAGCCATGTACCACTGCATCTGGCTCCCAAGGGCATTTTACATTAAGGTGTGTGATTTGCAGGCAGCTCTTACAGATCCACTCGTGCCCCCGTATCCACAGGTGTGTGTCCCAAGTGGACGCTGAGCCTGCAGATGGCACCAGGCCCTGTGCATGCTGTTGGTCCCCTTGCCTGCACGGCCACCCTTCGAGAGCAGAGTTGCTCTTTCTGAGTCCTGTGCCCGGGGCTCGCTTTGCAGCGTTTTTCTTGCTCTTGGGGCCCATTAGGTAACGTAAGTGTTAGCTGAGCACAGTACCGCGATAGCAGACGGCTGAGCCGATAACCGCGATGCCTGTGACACGCACATGGGGAGCTTGTACGTGCGGAGGGAGAGATGATTCGCATCCCAGCCGGATGGGGTCGACGGCATGAGCTTTTTTCCTGTCTCTTACAAAGAGTGTGCAATTTAAAACTTGTGAATTATTTCCGTAATTTTTCATTTAATGTTTTTAGACTGTAGGTAACTGAAACTACAGAAAGCAAAACTACAGGTAAGAGGGGACTTCTGCCAGGTATGGTGGCGCACACCTATAATCCCAGCATTCCAGAGGCTGAGGCAGGAGGATTACCTTGAGTTCGAGGCCAGGCTGGGCTATGTAGTGAGTCCAAGGCAGCGTGAAGTATATAGTGAGACCTTGTTTCAAAAAAAACACAACCAAAAGACAGACCAAATTGTTTATAATCCTCCTAGTGTTCCCTATGTAAGATATAAAGTGTGTGCACATATAGTACCTATGTATTATTACATGCATAGAAAATGCTTCCTGAAATCATACAGCACATTTTACATACTGCTTGCAGCAGGATTCTTAAGAAGTATATACTTTTATTACATTTACAGTTTTCCTTTCTTTTGAAAGGGTCAGTTCCTATGGGCATCTGAGTCCACTTTCTTTTCTTGATAGCCCTAGTCTAGTTTTTCTCAATCTTTTTACCTTCCCCTGGAGAAAATGGTTTTTTTTTCCGGAGAAAATTTAAATTTAATTTCTCCATAACAAGCAGAAATGGTATTAGAAATAAGCCTTAGCCGGACTGGCCTTTAGAAGACTACCAGTCATTGGAATACCTGAGAGTTCTGCTTGCGGAGAACAGTCTGTCCCCACTGGCAGTGCAGCTGCCTCCGTGGAGCGTGTCCACCCTGTGCCTGCTGGTCGCCTTCCCATCGCTGCTGCCCACTCGTAATGCTCACAGCGTAGAGGAGGAGAAGAGTATTTCGGCTCAGTTTCAGATGTCTCGGTCCGTGGTTGGCTGGCTATAAGGCGGAGATGTGTGTCATGGCAAAGGAGGGCTACTCACCTGATCTCGTAGCCAGGAAACAGAGAGACGGGGAAAGAAGCAAGAAGGAGGGGGCTGGCGACAAGAGTAGACCTTTCCAGGTTACTCCCCAGAGACCCCTTCCCCCAGCCACGCCCTGCCTCCAGCTGTGCAGTCATTCAGCTGATGGAAGGGTGAAGTTAACACCCCATGATGGTTTTTTTTGGTACCGGGAATCAAACTCAGGACCTTGTGCATGCCAGGCAGGCGCTTGTGCTGCTGAGCCGTATCCCCGGCCCGACACCCCGTAATCTCATTACCTTCTGAATGTCCTCATCTGAACACATGAGCTTTTGGGGGACATTTTAGATGAAACCATGACATAGCCCGAGGCAGGCTTACCTCGTATGCAGATTGAGAACTGAGGTGTCTGGGTATTGAATTTGATAACCTAGAGATGTGGATAAAATTAATTAGTTAGAAAAAATATTAATGACTCAGTATTTAAGTATATATCTCCTAAGAGAAAGAAAATTCCACATAACTACAATGGTATCATCACACTTACGGGAATCAACAGTCTGTAACATGTAATATATGGTTCATACTCTGATTGTTTTGTGTTAGCTTCTATAGCTCACGCCCCCCAAGTCCAGGAATAAATCAGTGTTTAGAAATGTCTTGGCCAGGTGTGGTGCCACATACCTCTGAATCCAGAACTCAGGGAGGCTGAGGCAGGATTATTGCAAAGGTTTTCGTCCAGCCTGGGCAACTTAGCAAGTTAGGGAGACCCTGTCTCAAAATCAAAAAGAAGAAGAAGGGCTAGAAACGTGGCTGAGGGCAGAAAAAAGAAAACAAAAGAGTTAATGTTTACTTAGTGTCCTTTATTTTAAAGAGTCTAGGCCGCAGGCCGGGGATTCAGCTCAGTGGCACAGTGCCTGCCTGGCAAGCGCAAGGTCCCGAGTTCAATTTCCAGTACCAAGTAAAGGAGACCAGGCCACATAGCTTGTTTCATATCTATTTTGAAGTGAGAAGAAAAGGTGTAAAAAAACTTAATTTGAACTGAATAAAATGCATGTTCTTAAATTGTGTGTTTGGTGGAAGAGAACTAGCAGAAAAAACGTAGCAAGTTGGCAATAATGACTACTTCTACAGTGGTTACTGTAGGGGTCTTTCCTTTGGGTTTCTGTTGGTTTTGTTTTGTTTTTTCCATGTGGTTTGGGGATTGAACCCAGGGACGCTACCACAGAGCTACATCCCAGGCCTTTTTATTTTGAGACAGGGTTTCACAGGTTCCCCAGGCTGGCCTCAAACTTGCAGTTCTGCCTCTGCCTCCAAAGTAGCTAGAATTACAGGCCTGTGTCTCCCTCCCGGGCTTAGAGGGATCTTTGTCTTTTATCTCACTGTATATGTTTTAATTATTTAAGATGAGCATACACAGTTTTGGTTAGTAGAAAAAGGAACCCAAAATTAAAAAACCAAAAGGCAGTCACAGTTTTGAAAGCCTGATGGGTGTAGTTTTTAGAATGGCATGTCTGTGAAACATCACAAGTCTTTTGTCGTCATAGCGCTTGGTCTCATTGACGTAACCTCTGTTGTTGTTTTCTTTAGTCAGTATTTACAGGACGAAAGCAAGACCAAAAGAAACATTGATCTGAACCTTTTAGAGTGGACACGCTACAGCATGAAGCCACACGTAAGTGATGACCGCGTATATTTGCCAAACTTCGTTGCGTTGTGTGATTCAGACTTGACTTCTTCCCTCACTTCATTTACCCCTTGTGGGTGAATCTCCTTAAGTCCACGTTATTTGTGCTTTTTTGGTGCTGGGAATCGAACTTCGGGCCTCATGCATGCCAGGCACATGCTCTCTCTAAGCTGGATCCCCTGTCCTAAAGGGTAGCTCTTAGAACGACTTCATGGTAAAGCTCTGGCTATTAATTCAGCCAAGACACTTCCTTCTTACCCTTTATCTTCTTGCTGCAAATATAAATGTTAATTACAGTATTTCAGGAAAACCCATCCCAGAATATGAGACTCGGTCCCAAAGTGCTGTGAGACCAAAGACAGAGGCAGACGGGTCAATGGTTGCCCAGAGTGCAGTCTCAGCAGACAGAAAGTCAGCTCCTGGTGGCAGCAAACTCAGCCGGTCCCCGCAGTTTGGGTCAGAAGGAGGCTAAAAGTCCTATCATCCAGGCCAGGATGGGTCTGGTTCATCTCAAGCTAGTAGCAAAGGTGAAGATTTCAGGCACCTTCTATGCTCACTGTGCCCGGAGCTGGTTGTGAATCATCGCAGACCACTCAGATGGTTTTGTCTGTTTATAGTGCGCTGGGAAACGGGGGGCCTGACTGGGGTTGCTTGCGGTTGTGGTGGGTATGAGTCAGCACGACCACTGTCATGTCTAACTCGGTCCCTACACGTATGCCAACACGTCTCTCAGGGGATTGGGAAACAAGACATTTAAGGCAGCTTCTCTTCCTGGTTGTTGCAAGCTCTTGTCCAAAATTTATCTGGGGATTTGTTTATTTAGGTTGTAGGCTCCCAGGGCATGGTCATCAGGAGTCAAGCAAGCTGCTTTGAAAGTACTTTGTATCTTACAATGTTTGGGTCTCAAGGTCTCGGTTGGAAAATGAGCCAGCCTTGAGTCCGACCAGCTTCCCTTTGAAGTAAGCCATGTGAATTCCATTTAGTCCTGACTTCTGGAGGGTGCTCAGGTTTCCTCATCCAAAAAATTTAACTTCCGCATGGAAACACTTGAAAATTAAGCCTTGACATTTCCAGAGGAAAAGACAAATGTAAGAGTCTATGCCGGGCATGGTGGTGCACGCCTGTAATCCCAGCACTCGGGAGGCTGAGGCAGGAGGATCATTGTGAGTTCCAGGTCAGCCTGGGCTACAAAGTGAGCTCAAGGCCAACCTGAACTGCATAGTGAGACCCTGTCTCAAAAAGACAAAAAAAAGTCTTATTATATAGCCAGATGTGGTGGTGTGTGCCTGTAATCAGCACTTAGGCTAAGGCAGAAAGATCACCGTGAGTTCAAGACCAACCAAACGGCGTAGTGCGCCCACACACGCGCACACCAAAGAAGGTCTGTGAGGATGAGCAGGAAGTGAGATTTAAAGAGCTCTTCTTTGTAGATTGGGATCTCAGTTCTCTCTGCGTGTGTGATGCTGGACTCAGGAGAAAAATATAAGGCCCCCGGCACGTGTGTGCTGGTCTGTCTGTCTTAGTAATCAGCTGTTTTGTGGGCCCGAACTGACCTGTTACCATCTGTATCTTCCAGCAGCAGAGGCAGCCTCTCTCCTGCCCTTTCTCTCACGCACCGTACGCGTGACTGCTGCGTGTGATCCGGGCCGGGCCTGGGGTGGTGGGCCTCCCCTCAGGGCTTGGAAGCGCTGCCCCTGAACAAGCCCTGCTCGAGGCAGGATCCTCACTGACAGCTGATCTGCGGCTTATCTTTCTGTCTCTTGAGACTGTAGGGGCCAAAGCAAGGCCTGTGCCCCATCTGCGCTTGGCCTGGGGAGGACCCTGCAGTACTGGAGTAGATGCATTGTTTTGGCGCCCTCACTTGCCCTTCTTAAAGCTTGTAGCTCCGGAAGTCATTCTGTCTAGTATTCCTGTTAGTACACCTTCCGATTCTGTTTTTGTTTCCTAGGTGTTGTGCAGTGCTGGGGATGGCATGTAGAGCCTCGAGCGTGCTAGGCAAGAGCCACATCCCACCCTCGGCTGGGATTCTTGGAGGGAGAGCAGAGAGAGGGACCCACTTCGCTTTCCTCTTTTCTCCTGAGAACTGTTTTCTGTGGGGCCCCATACTCCATGTCCTAGGTAGAGTTCTGCACCACACGGAGTAAAGCTAATTACATTGTATGTGTGTGCGTTTGTGCAATACCAGATTGAGCATTTACCAGAGTGTAATTTTTCCACAGCGATATTTAGAGAAAGTGCAAGGAATTTGTATTGTGTGCTATTTCACCTCTTCTTCCCTTCTGTTTCTGTAATTTTAGGAGATTCCTCAACAGCTGAACGGGAGTGATTGTGGAATGTTTACTTGTAAATACGCAGACTATATTTCTAGGGACAAACCTATCACATTTACACAGGTGAGTGAAGGCCCTCCTCATCCACTCGCTTCTGTCCAAGGCAGCACATTGCCGGGGCCTGACACACGTGAGGCCCCTTGCCGTAGCTGCTTAAGACTCCCTTGGCCCCTGCGTGAGCCTCACGCAGACCCCGCTCCTGCTGGCGTCTGCCCTCGGGGTCTCCTGCTCTCGCGTGGCTGGAAGGGTACAGCGCTTCTCGACGCCATGGTCCCTGTGAGAGCGTGTGACAGCGAGGGAAAAGCAGGTCTGTGAGAGCCTGAGTCTTAAGATAGGGCTGTGAGTCCAGCTTCCTCTCTGCTCTGCTTAGTCTGGGTTCTCCATGCTTCTGTGTTGGAGAGGAAACCCAGGCCTGTGGGGAGCACTTGAGAAGTTGTTTTCTAACAGTGGATTCGAAACTCTTTACAACTACAGCAGCCCACATGAAAAGTGTGTTCTCCAAGCACGTGTGTATAAAATAGTAGGACTGATAACTCCAGCCGAGCTTTGACGCCGCATCAGAACTAGGAGCCCGCACTAAAGTCAGACAATCCTAGTTTAAAATAAAGACGCTTATTACTGATTCGTCTCAGCAGTTTTACTAAGAAGTGCATTTTTAGTAGATGTTTTGAACTATTTAAAATAATGTAAGAATCGTATGTTAAGACTTAAACACACACCGAGAGCTCCCTGGCAGTCTGCAGTGAAGTGTGTTATCCAAGTGTTCATAATGACACATAGCGAATGGCCCAGGGTGTGAGCTCCCAGTTTCATCAGAGGGGCGTGGGCAGCTGACTTGCAGGGAACCTCGGTGTCCTGTCGTGTCTTGCTGCTTTGCGGTGATTAACGGTTACAGCAGTAGCATGTTAGGCAAAACATTTCATTCTTTGATGTTGCTAAATAGCAAGGAGTCGATTGTTCTCTGAACCTAAGGACATGAGACTTCAAGAGAAACTTTCTTGAGCAGAATTGACCGCGTGCAACACTTGGTAGAAAGAAATTTGATATTTTTCTTAAAGGTCACTTTTCTCGTATGAAAGCAAATGGGACTCATTTTAGATTGTTTTTAAAGTACATGTAAGTAGAGAGGTTGCCTGTTGCGCTACCACTTGGACATTTCCATTTTTGCTAATGCTTCAGCGCTGAAGTTGTCACGCCACCATGTATAGTTCTGAGTCCTGCTTTGACTTTCCTTAGCACGCACAGTGCTGGGGTGCATACAGTATAATTAGAAACCTTTTGCTTTAAGGCAGAGATGTCAGAGCTGACTGGAAGGACCTGGGCAGCGCACTTGGTTTGCATGGTAACACGCAGAGCTTGCGACACGGCTGCAGCAGTGTGTGACGTGTGTGTTGTTCTTCGCAGCACCAGATGCCTCTGTTCCGGAAGAAGATGGTGTGGGAAATCCTGCATCAGCAGCTGCTTTGAGAATGCTGCCCGCTCCCTCCGGCACTGGCGGATCCTTCCCAGCCGTCTCCACATACCTCATGCATCGTGGGTTCCCAGTCCCTGCGTCGTTTCTGTTCTCCCACAGGTACTGAGCTGTTGCCATGCATGGAGGCCTCTCTCGGGGTGCGGAGGGGCTGCTTTCGACCCTGACTATAAGGCCATGCCTGCTTGGAGCCCTGGACTGTTCAGCCCACACAGAACAAACGCTAATTAATGTTTTCTTGTTTTAGAGTCATTTCCCTTTGAATGTGGGAAGTGCAGGATTTACGCTATGAATTGTTTTTCCGTGTGTTTGTTCACGTGTTCTCGTTCGCTCACTCGTTTGCAAACATGGGGTAGTGGCCATTTCCCGCTGCCTCTGACAGTTAACCCAAATGACATGCTTGAACTATTTATTTCTGAGAGGAATGTTAACCAAGCTGCCTCCCCCTGCTGATGCTCAGGAGGGACAGCAGCGGGGGAGGACCGCGCGTCCAAACCGCCTTGAAGGCTGGAGCGGCCACTGCCAACTCAGAGTGAGAGGTCTGCCTTCTGTGTGAGGCTCCGGGATGCCAGGAGAGACAGAAGCGCTGTGCTTGGGGATCTGGTTGGGAGCAAGGCCAGCGTGACCGTAGCCCAGGACCTCAGGCCGCCTGCGCGCCTTCAGAAGTGTCGTGCTCATCTCAAAGCAGTTCCCTTCTGGAGTTGAGGTGACATGGCTTACTCTTGAAACTGGATTCAAAGTAACTGTAAACCCTAAATCTCCCTTTTCTCCCAGATCCGGTCGAGTATAAACCTCAGAATTGTAAGGGCTGGCCTGAGCTGTTTATTTCAAAAGATACTATTCAATTTAAAGCTATTTTTCCTCAAAGTTTTTTTTTCTATATATGAAGCTAAAATTAAGTTTTGTACCTATTATGATGAACACACACACACATCCCACCCCCAGTGCCCTCCCACCAAAATCTGTGGAAGAAAATTTAGTACCTGGCTCCGAGGTCGCCAGTTACACAGTAGTCTATTTTGCATATGAAAGTTTGTATTTAACTTTTTGTTCATTAAAAACCTTACAGATGTGGTTATGCATTTTTAATTTCAGAAAGTTTAGAGTTGGTCAGGACTTAGTTTGCAAGATCTAGTGCCTGGTACCACTTTTCTGGCATAATAAAGCCGAGTGGCAGCCCCCAGAGAGCGCCTGCCGGGTGACTCCCCGCCTGCCCCCACCCCCCGCCCCTGGCCTCGCATCCACCTGAGAGGCTGAGCAAGGGCTGGGACTCCCTGTCCCTGGGCCAGGCTCCTGCCGACAAAGCCTTTCAGCCAGTTGGCTGTGAGATGGGTCAAGGACTTGTGTGGCGGCCTGGGCCTGGGCCTACTCGGCCGGCAGAACGTCCCTCGGCATGAGTGGCACAGAGGTCCCTTCCCGCAGCCTCGATCCTCGCCCTGGGCGAGGTCCCGCAGAGCTGGACCTGTGGCTGCGGCAGTAGGCAGCTGACCTGGCCCCAACAGACCAGAGGTTTGCTGGGTCCCCTGTGCGGAGTAAGACGCGCATCCCCCTGGGCGTGTGCGCTTGGAGCTGAGCGTCCCTCGGAGCGGGGCGGTGTGCTGCTGTGTCAGGTCGAGCTCTGCACGGCAGCGTGCTGGACTGATGCAATGCTTGAGGGCTGCTCAGGGCTGGCCTCACGGGTCGTCACAGCTCTTCACAGTCTTCCAGGACGTGAGAGATCGCTACCAGCAGAGCATTAAGCTGGAGAGGCGTCTGCTTGGCCCTCAGCTCTGAACTCAAGGTGAGAGGCCGCCAGCCGCAGTCCTCTGGGCGCCGACCTCCTCCGCGGTGCACAGAAGCATGCTGGCGTTAGGTCTCTTCTTGGAGAAGGTCTCACTCTAGTCCAGGCTAACCGTGAACTCGCTGTGTAGCCTCGGTTGGCCTCAAATAGCAGTCGTCCTGCCTCAGCCTCCCGAGTGTTGGGTTTATAGGCCTGCACCACCATGCCTGGCAGTAATAGAATTTTTATCTCTCAACAGTTTATGAGGAAAGTGGTCTGGTGATTTTAAAAAGCATCTATTGATTGTATACGTAGCAAATTTGCAACATTAAATCCAGTCATTTTTTTTAAATTGCAGTAGTCTGGTGACCTGAGAAAAGACGTGGCAAACCATTGCGCTTTCTTAGTGGGTGGTCTCTGTTCTTACAAAGGGACAGGTTTTGTTTTTTTTAATATACTGTAGGCGAGCATCCTTCTCATGCTTGGCGTTGTGCGAGAGCTGGGGTTGGGGTGGAAGAAAAACCTGGGGCATCTGGAAGACGTTCTCGGGTGCCCTGTATTCTACCTCAGTTGCCAGAGGCTGTTGGGACCTCTGAGCTTTTCCTCCAGAGTCCTGAGCACCCTGGGTCCCACCGCGTGGGACTCCGGCTGCGCTGCATGCCAGGACCAGGCGCAGGTGTGGGAGGAGGCTGCCTTGGAAATGCAGAGTATCCGGTACACACAAGCGTTGCAAAGAGGTGAAGTCTGTGATGGCCTTAGTCCTGCAGTTCCGCTACCCTGCTTCATTGGCTTCTGTGAACTACCAAGGAGCGCACTCTCTGTTACAGTTTCTTCGAGATAAAACTCCAAGAATCTGATATTCAAATAAACTTTTGGCACTTAGCTAGTTGTAAATTGGAGTTCTACCTGGCTAGATTGCTTTGGTTTTTAAATTTTAATTTACTTAATATATACACGGATGGATTTGGGGTATATTGGAGTAGACATTGATTTTATCTATTTACCAATAAACTCATCTCTTTAATTCAGTGGCTTTAAATGTCTTTATTGCAACTCATAGTAATAAATATATTTGCTATTGTGACCAGTACAGTACACATACACACACAACTGTTCTATGATTATATTTGCACACAAAAATTTCACAGAATACAATTTATTCTTAATATTACATATGATAATTTTATTTCCATTTTTAAAAATATGTTTTGTGACCTTGTGATGGTTTGTCTTGGTTGTCAACTTGATTGGTTGGGAAGTGGCTGGGGAATTAGTAAAACACACGTACAGGTTTGTCTGTGAGAGTGTGTCTCAGGAGGGGTAACGAGCGGTGGGGAGACCTGCCTTGGGTGCGGGCAGCACCGGCAGTACGCTGTGGGCTGGATGAAACGACAGCAGGAGGAGGAGGCCTGAGCACTCTCCCTCTGCTTCCTGGCTGCCGTGAGGTGAGCGTTGTTCTGTGCCACACCCTCCCACCATGGTGTCTCTACCGGACACTGGCCCACCCTGAACTGAGCCCACCGGAACCGTGAGCCAGAATAACCCTTGCTTCCTTTTAGTTATTGTCAGGTACTTTTTTTCCCCACAGCAATAAAAAGCTAACACAAACCACTAAGTTGATTTCTGTGCCCACTGATAAATAGATACTGAGGGTTTTTTTCTTCTGCAGTGCTGGGATGGAACCCAGAGCCTTGCACGTGTTAGGCACGCACTGTCCCACTGAGCTACATCCCAGCCCTCATTCTGCTGTTTAGAAAGCACTGCAAGTGACCTAAGAGCAAAATGCAAACTAATTTTAAAGCTGTAAGCCTGGAAGCTGGGTGTGGTGGCACACACTAGTAGCCCCAGTACTCTGGGAAACAGGCGGGAGGATTGCAAGTTCAAGCCCACACTGGGCAACTTACTAAAACTGTCTCAGAATACATAAATAAGGGGTAGAGATGCAGCTCAATGTGAAGACCCTGGGTTCAATTACCATATCGGAAAACACTATGAGGTTTGAGGGGACCCTGGCTGGGATGGGGATGAGCCTGTTCAAGATCTATCCGGACCTCAGAGCACAGGTCAGAAGCTCTCAGACCCCTCAGGGAACTATGTGGCATAAACAATGTTTATACTTCGGGTTTTACATTATTTCTTAAAATGTAAGTAGAAGTTCTGTCGCTCATATGATGAAAAACAAAGGGTTCTGTGGCTCGATGTGTTCTCCCCTGTGGGGCTATTTACTAATTATGGCTTAACCTAGCATTTCTCAAGACCCGGGTGTTGGTGCTTTCCAAGAGACACCTGTGGAAGTGTTCGTGGAGCACGCTTAGGAAAGCGCCAAAGCAGCAGTCTAGGGTTGGTTGGTTTGCTTTTGTACCGGGAATCGAATTCAGGACCTTGCACTTATCAGGCAGGATTGTGCCTCTGAGCTGTGTCCCCGGCCCAGCCGAGGGTTCTTGGAAGCCAGCACTTGAAATCCGCCCCACCCCTGCCCGAGCTAGCCCCAGCCCTCACAGCCTGGCCTGTGCTAGGCTTGCAGCGTCATAAAGTCCAGTCCCTCAGCACCACGCTGCCCCTCTGATAGTTGCGTCAGTATGAGGTACTCAGAGTAGACAAGTGCAATCCCGATAGAAGGCAATAAAATTTCCCAAATTTGCCACCCAGAGTTAATGACTTCACACTAACCTTTGGTGCGTACCATGGCCTCTTCCGCACATGCGCACTCTTGTGTGCGTGTGCAGTCCGTATCGCTCACAGGTGTGGTCCCATGCTGTCCCTCTAAGCCTGCAGAACTCCACTCAGTTTACCTTGAGTATATTTCACGTCAATGCGTGCATCATTTTAATCGCCAAGCAGCCAGCGTTTACTCCAGTGTGACTGGACACACCATCCTGCATTTTTGGCTTCTCTTCGGTCAAACACTTAGAATTCAAATTTATGGTTAAAAGTTAAATTTTTTAAAATCAAGAAAAATAAAGCGCCCTTTGGTATTTTTTATTTTTCACACGGGATAATGATTTGTGTCCTGATGGGTTTAACTTTAAAATATTTTGTGTGTGAGGCCTTCAGTTCACTCCGAGGGATTTACTTTCTCATTTTAATGGAGAACTTATTCTTTTTTTCAACTACTTCACAAAAGAGTCTTTGTTATAGGAATTTCAAGACACAGGGAAATAGAGGAAATAGCAAAATGAACCTTTCTGTAGTCATTTCCCCTTCCAGCAGTTAAGAAAATATAGCTAATCTTGACTCATCTGTTTCTTTTTTTCATGTCGGACAGTCAGGTCTGGAATATTTTAAAGTAAAGCCCTGACATCAGATGTATGTTATTCGCTGGGGATTTACCTCAGCATCACAGCGCCTGCCTTGCAAGCTCAAGGTCGTGAGTTCAATTCCTGGTACCGGAAAAACAAACAAACAAAAAAAAGTCAGATGTATGTTATTCTTCCTAAATACTTCAGAACGTCTCCCTAACTAGCAACTTACAAAAACTGTCCTTTCACACCTAGCTATAAGAATTTACTAAAATGTCCAGTTCATATTAACACCTCCCTGATCATTAACAAAGAAAAAAGTTAGAGCTGGGATTCGGCGGCACAGCCTGAAATCCAACCTCGGGAGGCTGAGGCAGCATGTGAACTTTAAGGCCAGCCTGGGTTACTTAGTGAGACCATCTCAAAATAAAATTTTAAAAAGACCCAGGGAGTGGGCTGGGGATTTTGCTCAGCAGCAAAAAGTGCCTGCCTGGCAAGCACAAGGTCGTGAGTTCGGTTCCCGGTACCGGAGAAAAAAACAAAAAACAAAAAACAAAACAAAACAAAAAAAGACCCAGGGGTAGAGGTCAGTGGTAGAGGGCTTGCCTCGTTTATGCAAGGTCCTGCATTCCGTTCCCGGCGCTGCCCCCAAATTTTTTTTTTATCTATGTAATCAGGGGGTGTAGTGAGCTGAATGGTGGCCTCCCAAAAAGCTCTGTCCACATCTTAACTCCTAGAACCTGTGCATATTCACTTACATGGCAAAGAGTGAATATTAACTATCACCTTATGTGACAAAAGTGTGATTGACTAAAAGAGCCTAAGAAATGCACTGATCTTGGGTCACCTGGGTAGGGCCTAACGCAGTCACGCATCTCGTGTGAGAAGGAAGTTTTTGTTGTTGAGGTCTGAGGATCGAGCCCGGACCTCGGACGGGCTGAGCCTGGGCTGTGCCCTTGACCTGCTTCCCCGGCTCCCGGAAGCGCTTCCCCGGCTCCCGGAAGTGCTTCCCAGCAGAAGCGCTTTGCAGTGGCAGGAGCAGAACACAGAGCTGGAGCAGTCTGGGCCACGCGAGCTGATGAGGCCAGCGCCAGAGTCTACCCTCGAGCCTCGGTGGGGATTCGGCTCTGTCAGCAACTTGGTTTCTGGTTTTAGCTTCTAGAATTTGGAGAGCGTGCATTTCTATTTGTTTCGGCTGTCAAGTTTGCACCAGTTTATCAATAGTAATCTCGGAAAGCTAATACAGGATCCGAAGAAACCCTGCATGCTGCTGTTGGGTCCCTCCCCCTGCCCCTCACTTTCTCCTCCTCCCCAGGGGCCCACTGTGTCCTCCCCAGCTCCCTGAGTAGCTGGGGTTCCAGGGGTGCACCAGCTCACTTGGCTTTGTTTCCGTAATCCCCTGTATTCAGTACGCATTTCCCTATTTTCTCTTTTTTGTTCTTGTTCTTCATTTATTTATTTGTGCAGTATGCGGACTGAATCCAGGACCTTTGCACTGAGCTACATCCCCGGCCCCTTTTTGTTTTTATTTCAAGACAAAGTCTTGCTGAGTGACTAAGTTGTCCAGGCTGGTGATCCTCCTGCCTCAGGCTCCCAGAGTGTGGGGGGTTTCAGGTATGCGGCACACACCCAGCTCAAAAGAAACCTTAATTTTCTCAGGCATTTTGCCCCCGAGGGAAGGCTGGCGAATGCAGTGTCCCGGATGGTGAATGTGAGCAATGCTGGCACAGAGCAGTGGTTCAGGCTGTGAGGACCTGAGCTCTCCATTTTGTTTCCCATAATTCTCCTACAGTGTGAAATGTATTTGATGATTTCACAAGAGGTACGAAATGGTGATTTTCTAATTCTGTCATTCCTTTTGTGTCCACTGGCTTGAATTGTTCTATCAAGAAAAACTTCTTGTGAATTACTTGGTTACCTTGAAAGGTAGTTTATGCAGAAATTCATTGTAATTATTCTTTTTGGCCATTTACGAGTACAATAAAAGCTACTCAGCTGGACAGGGTAGCGCACACCTGTTTTCTCAGGTACTTGGGAGGCTGAGGCAGGAGAGTTTCAAGTTTGAGGCCAGCCTGGGTAACTTAGCAAGACTCTCTCTCAAAATGAAAATGTGCCAGGGATATAGCTCTGTGGCACAGCGCCTGCTTGGATAGTTTGAGGTCTGGGGTTCGATTCCCGGTACCTAAAAGAAAGAAAATGAAAAAATTTAATACCTTTGTTTTGTTTTTTTAAGACAGTGCAGTTCAGGTTAGCTTTAAACTCACTATGTAGCCTACACTGGCCTTGCATTTGAGGCGATCCTCCTGCCTCAGCCTCCCCAGTGCTGGGACTATAGGCATGCACCACCACTTCCAGCTGATACCTTTCTCTAAACTTTTATTTCATTATATAAATGTATGGTCATTTTTAAAAAGATAACAAAAAAGTTACTTTAAAATTATAAACTTGCCAAAAAGTGTGCTTTCTGTCCCACGGTTCAAGAAGTTAAATATGTTTAATATTTGTGACCTCACCAGGGTGGCTGGCATACGTGTTAGGAGCAGATAGGAACTAGATATGGTAGAGTGACAGTTATATAACACACACTTTAAAATGTAAATGAAAGCACGGGAGGGGAGGCTGAGGCAGGAGCATCATTGTGAGTTCAAGGCCAACCTGGGCTGCATAGCCAGACCCTGTCTCCAAAAAAAGAAAAAGAAAAAAGTAAACAAAATAACAGTTTTCCTTGAGAATGACTGTCTTATTTTAAAAAACAGTGTAATTAAGCTTCAAGTACCTCGGGTATTTGT